ACGACCATGGGAGTGTAAACCATAGATACGGTCATCATTAAACTCATAAATCCATGTCATCTGTGTGTCATTCACTCCATCCTCATTCATCATCCCTTACGCTTTCAGAACAGCGAGCCGTTTGAAGACTTTGAAGAGCGGTTTGCAGTGGCGACTCCGGTAAGAGTGAGAGGGCTCTGTCTGCTTAACTCTTTCATGTCATGTGCCATCATCCCTTGCATGTTCATCAGTCATGCCTTATGGTTACAGAACAGAAACTTGCCTGTGGACTTGGATGAGATTCTTGAGGCAGCAAAGGTAAGCCCTCAAGGTTTGTGGGCAGCGAGGACCCTTCTGGTCCTTCTTGTGCACCCTGCATCATCCCCAGCCACCAGCTCAGCAGCAAGTGCTCCGTTCTCCACTGCTGCAGTGGGGCCCATTCTCATGGTCACAGAAAGGCTGAGGTCAGAGTGTGTGTACACATGTGTGTGTACATGTGTGTGTAGTACAGGGGAGGCAGGAGGAAATATGCACCCTGCGTTTTCATTTTTTTGTAGCTCCTAACATGTCCCAGACATTGTGAGAGATGCTAGAGGGACAGGAGTGAGGAAGACTTAGCCCCTGTTCCCGAGAAGCTCACAGGATGACCGCATGCAGTAGCATTGCATAGGGAAGGGGAGGACAGTGGAGAGGAGGGGAGGGGAGGGTAGAGTAGGATAGGGAAGCGCACCCTGCCTTGCTTAGCATGGAATAGTGCAGTATAGTATCACATAGGGGAGTAGGAGTTCAGACACAAAGATGTGCACGTACACCACTGGGAACCAACAATAGTCAGGCTGCTCTTTGCCCAGTATACACCCTCAGGTAGATGTCCTGGTCTGCAGCTAGTGTTTGCTCAGATTGGTTGATGCACAGGCCAGTGAACAGTGTCTCTCCTGAATATTAAGAAGTGAACATTGTCCCTTCTGAATACCAGGAAGTGAACAGTATCACCCCTGAACATCAGCAAGCCACTAGGACAGAGATCATCGGCCCTGGCAGCAATCTGGAATCACTAAGAGAGCTTTCTAAAGTTTCAGGACCAGGGCTCTTCCTCATAGACTCGGGTGGGGCCAAGCATCAGTACTTTTCCCCAGGCAAGGCTGAGAACCACTAGTCTGGAAGTGTCTGGAAAGCTGTGTTGGACAATAGGATGGGCTGCAAATTGAGTTAGGAAACACTGCCAAGAAAAAAAAAGGATTCTAGCTGTTTTCTGGAGGAGAGTTGGGAGAGGAAATTGGAGAGGGAAGCAAGGAGAGTTCTAGGTGGGGGAAGAACCGGCGCAAAGGCCCTGGGATGGCCGCTGCTTTCCTAGCCTATTGTGCTCTGTCCTCAGCATGTCCTGCCTCTGTAGGCTATCTTTCCGGAAAGCAGCCATCTCATGACAGTAGGAACAGGAGCATGTGGCGGCTGCTGCCGTTTCTGCTCTTAGCGCAGTCACCGAAGCGTGCAGGCATCCCCATACCTGTGCGGCCTCTTAGGTCCCAGGGGGCTCCTGATGCCAAAACATAAGGAGTGGGTCTGTGAGAAAGTGTCTTGGGGGTCAGACTGTTACAACTGTGCCCTCAGAATCTCCCCCTAGCGCTCTGGGTGTTGTGGCGTAGTTCTTAGAAGGCTCTTGTAATAGCAGTCTGTGGCGCTTTAGATGGTCCTGGGAACCAGCACTTGTGCCTATGAAAGCATAGTTGGGCAAGGCCAGCCTGACGGAGATGCAGAGGGGCTGCTTCCCAGACATCCCAGCTTCTCTCCTGCACTGGCCTTGTCAGCTTCTAGTGTCACTCTGCTTACCCAGCAACCCAAAGAATGGACATATCTGCCATCTCTAGCTACATCTCTTCCCACCAGAAGACATCGGAGATGCCAGGGAGGGAAGGATCTTGCCCTAGCAAATAGACATCTTGGGCAACATCCCCAGTGTTTTCCAGTGGGCGTGCATTGCAGCACACCTCCTGGCATCCCTGGCTCCTGGGGGAAGAGATTGTAGATCTGGGCTTCCACCATTTAGCAAGGCTAGCTAAGCTTTGGTGAAGGAACAGACAGAGAAACAAAGTGTTAACTGCTCTGTGGGCCAGGTCCATCCTGTCTTTGGCTGACTTATCACCAGCAAACTCCTTGCCCACCCTCTGCAGTTAACTCCTTTGTAAGACAGAGTGACAACGGCACTATGTATGGTGTGCAGTGAGGGTCAGACATAATGGCGGTGTGTGTGTGAAAGTGTATTGTAAGCTAGAAAGCATTTTACAAATGTGAATTCTTAGGTTTATTCTCTTGGGCCTTAAAAATGATTAATTAGGACAATATTTTCAGATAGATCATGGTTTATTAGGTTACAAATAAAAAGAATGGGGTTCATATGGGGAGGAGGGCTATGAAAGTAGATACTACTCCAGATTCTCAATCATACATGGTTATTCAGATTATTTTTAATTTTATGGCCCAAGAATCCCCTTTTTCTATAAAATTTAATTAACTCGAGGTTCTATTTAAATGGCAAATCCGATGGAATGAAATAACAATCTGTATTTTATGCCTCCCTCTGTTTTTTCCCGTTTAATCCTTGAGTGAAAATCATCAGGCAAGAGGAGAGCCAATAGCTCAAAGAAGGAAGGTTATTTTAAAAGTTGTGCTTAAGGAGAAAATTAGCCAATAAATTATATTTATGATGTTAGTAAAAGTATGCCGCAAGTTCAATACATTTGAAATGTAAATTGTGTGACTTAATTATTAACTTCATTTTAATATTTTCCTAACACTGAAAATAGTTGTGGGCCATTTAAAAAATGTCAAGTTCCAATCACAAGGCCACCTGGAGCTTGATTTGAATTCATTAAAAACAGCTAGTCCTGTTCGGAATTTGGGAGGGCATCCAAAGGAGCTGCATCGCCCAGTAATAGAAGACACAAAGGCAGGTGCCCACAGGCCAGCCAGGCTGGGGAGGACACCCTGCAGGCTGCCACCTCGCTCGCACCCACTGCCACATCAGTTACCGCAAGAGATGGAAATGGGTCAGGAGAGAGATGGCGGGGAACTGCGAATCACACCCAATCCCACCACAGCCTGGCCCTGTCCACTCAGCTGCTCCTCTCCTGCTGCTCACACCCCACCTCTCCCTAGTGTTCCTGGCTCATGCAGCCGCATCTGCCTGAGGTGATCTCTATCTACGGATCACAGACCCCAGAAGATGGTGAGCTCCATGCAAACTGACACTTGGCATTTCCATTTATTGTGCTCCCAGCAAAGCACAGCGTTGTGTATCTAACTCTTGCTCAGGGTTTATGGAAAAATATTGTTGGGAAGGAAGTTAATCCTTCTGAGACCCCACATGTGTGCCAAGCACCATTAGCGGAATGGAAGCTCAAAGAGAAGAAGAGTGGAAAGTGAGTCCTACCAGGCTAAGCTCCTTAGCTTTCAAGAAAAAGAGCCTTTTGTGCTTTTATAACCAAGCCTAGCCAAACTTCAAGGCCAGTTAGATGTTGACCATCCCTTACCTGCTCTGCCTGGGACCACAGGTGTTTTGGATTTTGGATTTTTTCCAGGTTTATAGTATTGGCACACACATAATGAGATATCTTGGGGTTGGGGCCCAAATTTAAACACAGAATTCATTTATGTTTAATGTACACTTTAAACTCATAGCCTGAAGATGATTTTATGCATCTTTAGTGCAGCTGTATTTTGACTGTAACCCTTCATGTGAGATAAGGTATAGAAATATCCACTTGTGGCATCTTACTGGAATTCAAAAGTGTTTGGATTTTAAGTACTCAGATAGGGATGCTCAACCCATAAGTTGTCCATGAATACATAGAGCAGATATCACCATCCCCATCATCCAGGAGGGGAGCCCTGGCACTGAACTATACAGATAGGGTTAGTGGGAAGGAAAGAACATTCTGTTCTTTGTGTGAATCCTAGAGATACAGCCATGCGCTGGTTGGAGCAGAATCTGTGTGCAGAGGACCTGCAGGGCAGGACAAGACCATGACACTCTCTTGGTGCCTTCTGTGAAGGGCTGGTTTTCCGTATCCATAGTAGAAGCACTCATAATCTGAAGCTGAAGGGAGAGTGGATTTTCCTCAGTGGAACTGTCTACATAGAGTGTATTACTGTGTACTTTCCGTAACTAAGTCAGGTGACTGGATGCTGGCAGGATACTGTCCGTGGTCTCTGAAGCTAGAAGTGTATGCAGATTAATTCTAAGTCTATCTGTCGGAGGCTGTGGGCTGCTGAGCCAGCCCTGCGCGGGCCTCCCTGTGATGGATGGGAAGATGGATAAAGCAGTGTCTGCAGGGATGGAGTTCCAGGAGTGATCGATAGTGTATACACTGGGCTGGTTTTGAAGCCTTTCCTGGAATTAAATGAAATGTTTTCTTTACCTCCAACTACATTTTTTATCCCAAAGATAGACTATTTCAGGGCTGCATATTTGATGGCATGCTCTAGCTACAGAAAATTCAAATCCTGGTCTGGGTGACTTTGATGTCACTTCTGTGAGAATCATTTTATTCCTCTGCAAAAAAATGGGGGTGATGAATTCTACCTCCCTGAGTTCATATTACTGAGAGCACTTACTGAGAGGTGGCATGAAGTCATCTCTTGTCCTTCCACCAGAAGGCATCTTATTTGTGTGACTACACTTTGGAGAGAAAAGCAACTTTGAATTGCCCCTGTCCCCCTAAGAAGAGACACAGTGCTGGCAGCTGGCAGCTGACAGCCAACAAGGGGGAGTGGTGTTACAGCTTATGAGAGCCGCCTAATGGGTGATGTTGACCAGCCCTAGATAAACACCCAGACTCACAGAAGCAGGAATAGGGTCCGACAGCACCAAGCTCTTGCCTTTGGGATGGAGAGGTATAGTAATGACTGACTGGACTTACAGTCACCTTGAAAGAGAGAAATGTTCGTTTTCCTCATTTTGTTTTAAAGCTGTGCCTAGCAGCCTCTGCTTTCTTGGTTACATGGTTATCCTTTTGTCTTTTCAGGCTGTGACCCAATTAGAACTTTTTGGGGACATGTCCACCCCTCCTGATATAACCTCTCCCCCCGTAAGTATACACAGTCCTGCCACTCCACTGCCTTTTCTCAGCTACAAAAGAACAAGAGTGTGGTATTTGGGTCTTAGACACCTGCTGAGGAATTTCACCTCTGGCTCTTACAAGCTTGTGACCTGGACAGTGAATTAGCAGCCCTGAGCCTCCATTTCCTCTGCTGTTAACCCCCAGGAGGTTGCAGTCCAGAGAATTACAGTGGAGGTCATGTGTATCACTACTAGTATGTGCTGAAATGCAGGAAAATAACTGAAATACTGCAAATTTGCATTTATTACATTTATATAGTAACATATAATAAATCCATGATTTGTATTTCTTTTCAGTTATAATATGGAAGTTGTAAAAGAAAATAATTCAGCCATATTTACCAGAGTTCATTGTGTCTCTCTTAGATAATACACTATCAGATACAACACACGCTTACAAAACATGTTGTAACCACACTGATCACTGCAGCATCATGGTGTTACCTTAGTCAGTTACAAATATGCAGCTGCTCATGACTTTTTACCTGAGCACACAATACATGTAGGGATATTTAAGAAAAAGTCTGATTGTATCTCTCATATTGCTGGTGGCCTCCTAAGCATTAAAAGGGAGAGCTGAGTAGGTGGGATCACAAGTTTGAGCCCGGCGTGAGCAACATAGCAGCTTAGTGAGACCAGGGCTAAGGATATAGGTTAGTGCAAAGACCCTGGGATCAATCACTAGTCCACACCCACACAAAAAAGACAGGAATTATGATACGGCTTCTGTTTTGAGAAGTAAATGAGACCGTGCACAGCACAGGCATCAACCCAGGAGCAGACGCCCCTCTCCCCCTGCCCCAGTCTCCCCTTCCCTCTCACCTTCTTTGCTGCCTCTCTCCATCCTTGTTTCTCTCTCCCTACCCAGCCTGACTGTTAGCCTTGCATACCGTGACCCAAGTGTCCCTGTACTTTTCAAGAAGCTTTGGATTCCCAGCCAGGGGTATGTTGGCCAAAGCTTGCAGAGGACAGAGATTGCAGGAAGCCCAAATTTGAAAATGTGAAAAACAAAACAGACTGAAAACGCAAGCAAAATTGAATCCCAATACTGGGTACATTCAAAAGCACCCTGTCCCCCGCCGCTCCCCAGAGGTGGCTGGAGAGCCCTCAGTGCAGGTACACCAGCAAGAGCTGCCGGGAGGGGCGGCTCATCTGGGCACTGCAGTTGTGCAAACCCCGGCCATGGTGCTGGGGTTCATTGGTGAGATGCGCCCCACAGAGAAAGGGCTGTAACCTCACCTCAGAGGACAGATGGCTCAAGACTGTGCCACCCACAGCTGCCACCAGGGGAGCCAGGCACAGCTATCCTGCTGCCAGCACCTGATATCCGGAGCATCAGTGCAGGAGGGGGCCACAGCTCCTGTCCCCAGGGAAGTGGGGCAGCCCTAGCCATTCTCATCCTCTCCATCCCAGGAACTGAGCATCATCACAGACCTGTGGGACTCTGGAGCTGAAAAAGCCTGAAGAGCCTTTGCAGCCTTCTCCCGGGCATTGTACAGATGAGCAACCCTTGGCCCAGGGAGAATTGAGTCATGTGACTCAGCCGAGGTCATGTGGGGAAGAGGAGAGTGCTGATTGTGTTTAAAAGTGCTTAACACAGCGGCCCATGGCAGTGTTGCTGCTACTTAATAATCCTCGGAACAATGCCGTTCATGCCACAAGCTGCTGGTCTAAAAATGGCCTTGTCTAATTGCCATGGTTTCACGATTAATTGCTTGCCCCAATGTACTCCAAGGGAAACTTTTAAAACCAGCACAGACATTATGCTATCCAGCAGGCTTACACTTTGTAGGCAAAAGGCCACTGTCACTGGGTATAGACATTATAAAATGAGTGTGACATTTTCCTGTCTGTCCCCTACCTGATCCCCAGCTCGTGCCGTGGAGCTTATGGACATTCAGCAGGTCCCAGCAGGCAGCTGTATGGGTGTGGTTGTTTAAAGGCCTTCTCAAAAATATTTACTTCTTTTTGCAAGTGAAGATTCAGGCAAGATTCTGTGAGGCACTGGGTACAAGGGCCCAGGCTCCACGTGCTGAGCTTTATTGGTTCATACATTCACCAACTGTTCATCAGCCACATATCAGTGACAAGCCCTGAACTGGGCTCCTCATAGGTCTCCAGTGGGTGTATCTCATTTCAAATTTAAATTGATAGCCTCTAAAGGCTGAAAGACAGATACTCTGGAGTAACTTGATGGCCATCAAACACCCCCAAGGCAGGGACTCAACTGGCATGAGGTCATCTTTAGCTAAGGATCTACTGTAGGAATTTGTATGATGCTAAATAATATGCAATAATAATTGCATGATCTCACTTAAAGCAGCTGTACAGGTATCGTTTTTCACACTCCATTGATAAAGTCTCTGTCACCAGCCATGGGTTGAACACCACACACATGGCCTGGACTGTGGATAGCTTCTATGCTCCCATCTTCCTGCCCCTGCTCCCCCATCCATGATAACCACAGAGCCCAGTCTCACATGTCCTCTGCCTCCTTCTGTCTGCAGACTCCCGCAACTCCAGGTGATGCCTTTATCCCATCTTCATCCCAGACACTTCCGGCAAGTGCAGACGTGTTCGGTTCTGTACCCTTTGGCACTGCTGCTGTACCCTCAGGTAAGCCCTCTTCCACCAGCCTTCCTCCCTTTGGCCACGCATTGCGAGAAAGGGAAAGCGGTGACTGGTGCAGCTGAAAACCCATGCCAAAACACTTGTGGAAACAGCATTCTCAGCTGCAACTCTTTAGTAACACTGAGCAGCTGCTTTGTGGACGAGAACTTGGAGGTCAGATACCAAGCTCTCATATGCACTGACTGAAATTCAACCATGTCTTTTACTTGAAAAGTTCAAAACTCCAGGGGACTCAGGTGTACAGTGCTGGAGAGTGTGATACCCACACGGCCGTGGAAAGTAGCGCAGGTCCACTTCCTCCTGTGGACTCAGCCAGAGGGGGAGAGGCAATGAGCGGGACAGGGGATGAGCCTGCTCTGCTCACACCTCTTGAGACCTGATGGGTAGAAGGGATCCTTTCTGTTTGGTGCTGACTCAGGAGGGGTGGTTTCCTGTCCAGGACAGCAGGAAACTCAATGGCACAAGAGCCACCTGCTCACAGTGACTTGGAAGGGGACGGGACTCAGTGATGTAGAAAGCGTTTCTTCGGTTTTCCAAATATTTTTAAAACACAGATACTACTTTCACAACAGGATACAGTTATCTATAGGAATAGTGATGCAGGTGAGTTATAAATGAGTGCGATCTCCAGGATTATATGTGATTTCCATGGTGTCAGGCATCATGGTGACCAGGCCACTCCACCTGGAAATAACCAAAGGTGGGCTCGTTCTGTTCCGCACATCCACGGGATCCTGGAGGAGTCTGTATTTTCCTTTAACTACATATTTCCCAACCATGGCTTTATCTTTCTTTCTTGACTTTATTCTTGTAAATGGCAGATAAGAGTTTAAATATTTTAGAATACAAATCCTCTTGCACTTTTTTTATAAATAATTACTTTTAATTACATAGTATTAGAAGCTAGTTCTTGTCACCAAATATAAACCTTGCTTTTATTAGAAGTAAATTAAAAATTCATACCCTGTTCTGAAACAATTATTCTTCAAGAACCAAGGGATCATTATGAACTTTTAGAAGTAGCAGAGGCTGGTAGTGACTGAATATGACTTACAGTTTAGAATCCGCATGTAGCCTAGAAATTTATTAATTGCTAAGTTTCCCAACAGAATCTCTTTTTATTCATTTTCCTGCTCTGAAATGGATAATAACATCTCCTTGGGATTACTGCAGTAGAACACAGTATGTCACTTAACATAAGAACAACATTTTCCATCAGAAATGGACCACTCTGCTATGCTTGAGCTTGGTGTTTGAAATACCCAAGCTTTATCCTGTCATTCTGTATTTTGGGGCAGATGGTGGGAACTCTAGGGCTCAAATGTACTGAACTGCAGGTGTGTTCATCCCACACATACCCTCTGAGCGCCCACTACATGCTAGCTCCTGTGCTTGGGCCATGTTGGTGAACATGATAGACGGAGAGCTTACCTCCTATCAGGGATACTACAAATAACATAACAATGAGTAACTTGTATAATGTTAGCAAACGGTGAGTGCTATGGACAAAAGGAAACGCAGGGCAGGGGGTGGAGCCCTGGAGCCCCAGCCCAGGAGCTTGTGATGGAGGCGGGTGGCAGACTTGAAGGGAGGTGTGGAACAAGCATTGGGATGAAGATGGTGCTAGGTACAACTTCGAGTCTCCTCCAGTGCTAACACTGATTTGAAGCACCCCGAGGACCTGTTGCTGTAGTCTGCCAATGTCCAGCCTATACCACCTCAGGGGCTCGAAAACCTGGACTGTACTCTTGCTTCCTAACCAGCTAAATTGCAAACTGTGATCAAGCTACTTCTTTTAGTTGTTAAAAAAAATGGATTACCTCCCGGACTGCAATTTTTAGAACAGGAGTCTAAAATTAACTTCAATTAGCATATTTTTGCTTTCATACTATATTTAAGAAATACTTACGATATGCTTCAATTGGTGTGAAATTATCTGCCTGCTCCCTTTCCTCCCTTAACTGGTCTTAAAAATCTCTGTAGCTATGGCTTCTCCATCTCCCTGTCACTAATTGTCCAGCCAGGGGTAGTGAGAGAGGCAGTGAAGAGAGCTGCGGCACACAGTGGGTAAGCTGCCTGCTGGGCACTTTTTGGATCTCGTGGGCTAGTTTTGAATCCTGTTCAGCCGTTTTTTTGGGGGGGGGCGCTGTTGGGGGGTACTGAGTCTCACAGCGTTATAAGGCTGGTCTTGGACTCCTCGAGCACTCTGCCTCAGCCATCCAAGTAGCTGGGATTGCAGGTGCTTGGCCAGACACCACCATTTTTAAAATAAGCTTTAGACTCCTAGGCAAATTACTTAAACTGTCAGAGCCACAATTTCTTCACCTTTATGACAGGGTTAAAAAAAATATCTCACAATAATATCATGAGAATTAAATGAGAAACGAAGATTCGGCACTGTGAAAACCGCTGGTATACCATAGATACTAAAGATGCACTGCACTGTTGTTGCTCTGACTTCTAAAGCAGAAGATAATTTACCTGCTTGGAACTGTAACATGTGTGATAAAGTTTTTAGATTTTCAGTCTTCTGACTGCCCAAAGCAGAGGTCAGCTGGGTGGTGTGGGGAGTGGACACAGGCTCTGCCTTTAACTACCTGCATAATGCTCAGCTGAGTCTCCTGCTGAGCTTCCCGTAACTTACCAGAAAAAATGGGGTCATCCTGATTTTGCCCCCTAGAGCTGTGCTGAGAATTGCGTAAGCAAACACAGGAAGCAGAGCAGCTAGAAGGGTGCTGCACAGCGCCTATGCAGGGGGCACGCTGCAGATGTGCGCTGCTCACAGGATGCTGGCTCTGCTGCCCTGTACGGTGGCAAGGGCTCCCATCGCAGAGCTAAAACAAGAACACACAGCACAGACCGTTACTGCAAGATGATCTTGAGGACTGGCTCCCCCACAACGTAATTTAACTGAAGCAGGGGTTTCAGTTTTACTGTGTACTTCACTGAATCTGCAGAGACTAAAACAGAGCCTGAACCGGGGGGAGTATTTTTGAATTCATGAATTAGTTAAGTGAATAAAGTAGCTAAGCGCTACCGTGCAAGTTCTATATGACTATTGGAGTCCTTTAGTGTTTTGCTTATATTCCAGCCTGCCTTTTTTTTTCTTTTTTCAAATAATGTGGGTGCCCCAGCTGCCAGCATCTGGTTATAAATTGCAATTTTCCACACTTTATAGACCTAGCTGCAGGGCAGTCATGCAGGTGTTCCCCTTCAGTTCACAGCAAGGAGTTTATGATTGATCTGAACTCCGTGCCATAAACAGATGCTCCTTGGCACCTCCTCCCTCCGCTGTTGCACATTAACAAGTAAGTGGTTAACAAGTTGTTAAGTGGCTGCAGTGGCAGCCAGCAAGTGGCTCCCTGAGAGCAGTGCCGCCACAGTCCTGCTGCTGCGATGTCCCCTTAAGCGTGTATAACTCCGTGTGGCCTGGGGACACCACCGGCTACGGGGGCCCCACTCCAGGAAAAGAGGGGAGACCTGTGAGCCCCAAACATGGGGCCCAGTGGCCCTGTGCTACCTTTTCTCTTCTTAATATTATACTTTGATCTGAACAGATGGCGTGAAGCCAGAGAGACATGCTAATAGCTCTCTCCAGAAAAGTGTGCACAGACCATCTGTTATTTGCTTGCTAAAAAAAAAAAAGCGAGAAGGAATAGAAAGAAGAGAAACAAACCTGCCACCAGCAGTAGAATCGTGAGAGTTCCAGCGCTTATGGATTTTGAAGTTCTGTTATACTCTTGGGAAAATGCAGTAAAGTCATAGATTTCTCTAGGACTCATTACCTTGAGGTAGGCCCTTACTGCAGACTCAAGCGTTCATGGGGCTTCTGACATCTGCCAAAAATTGTGTGCAGAATGGGGAGAGGAAGTAAAGGGTTCCTGCCGGCACACATCTTTGTCTCGTGAGGGAAGCCAGAATAACCAGGCCATCTTGCACCGTGTGGTGAGTGTTGCAGTAGAGGGGAGCACACGGAACTGTGGAGCCCAGAGAACCAACTGCATGCTGAGGGCAGCAAAGGGGATAGTGAGCTGAGCCTCACACAGCAGCCCGGGTTCATCAGGGAGAGGAGGAGGTCAGCAGAGCCCAGCAGAGGACACCTCGGCCACAGTGGGTGAGTGGTGTTCTCAGCTGCTGGGGGAAGGGTTGGACAGGATACCACTTGAAAGTGGTGATGAAGGCATAAGAGGGCTGACTTCCAAGAGCTCACCAGCTACACCCAAGCATGTGAGCCCTGTGCTCCAGACAGCAAAGTGCCATGCAGACAGTCTCTGACTACCTCACAGTGGTTCCACTTCAGATTTTTCAACTCTGTGACGTTGAGAAAGCAGTACATATTGAATAGAAACTGCAGTTCGCATTTTGATCTTTTCCAAGGCTAACAACATGCAGTATAATACTGTCTCCCAATACCGGACAGTCAGAGGGGGATGCACCTGCCACTGAGCCAGGGAATCAGGGGTGGTGTCGCAGAGAAGCTGCAGTGTACCGTGTGCTGACCTAGGATGTTTGTTAGATTAAATGAATCCTCAACTTAATAATATTTGCAACTTACAGCAGGCTTGTGAGGGGGGTGACCCCGTCAGACAGCAAGGAGCATTTGCATTTGTATTTTAGTACAGTCCATGGTGATAATGACAGAAAGGATGGAAGCAAAACTAAAATAGGCTGGGTAAAACTGAAGTCGCCGATCCACTCTGCAAAATGATGTTGGGACCATTGGAAGACCCATGGGTAGGTTTCTAGCTGTGAGATCCATTTGTAACTTAAGTGGCTTGCAATGACATTCATAGATAGTAATGTGTTTCAGCAAGGAAGTACTCAGGTATGAGCGTAGTACATGACATAGTAAGTAATCAGATGCTTATACCCATATCAGAATCATCCTTGAAAGCTACAGCTACTCTTACACTTCTGATGAAGAAATGTGCAAGTTCAGCCCCATGAGAAGTGTTCCTGTCAGGTACCACCATTTTCATGAAAAACTCTATAGAGTGTTCCAAGCAAAACAAAATATAATCTTCTCTCAGTATACACGCTTGTTACATTCCTGAAGTGTCAAAACTGTCTGAAGAACCTGAATGTCCATATAATTCAAGTTCTAGAATCAAGTGATCATGACCAGAATGGGGGATAATGCTTTGTTCTATCCATTCATCTCCCACGTTATAGGTAATCTATCTATGCTGGTGACACCTTAACATGCCAGTAATGCCCACTCCACTCTGCAGTTACCAGGATAATGAAAGCACACTCCACAAATTTTCCCGTTACACCTAGGGGAAAGCAACACTCCCATTGTGAATGATTGCACCATATCCAAGTAAATCAGAAAGTAAGAAAAAACAAAGGGGTAGAACACTTTATCTGTCGGTGGATTCCGGTCACTGTATCACCGTGCAATAGATGAGGTGATGTAAGTGAGTTTCAACTTTGAAATTTCATCATCCTTACCTCCCCACCCCTCTTGCTTCAGCACAGTTGGACTGAGAGACTTCACAAGATTTTTTATTTTATTTGTTGATTATTCTTCCTTATTCCATAAAGCATTTTGCACGGATACATTATCCAGCAAGAGGCCCACGTGTCCTGTGTGTGCCCCATGGACCCTTCTCTGGGGGTGGCTTGTCATGCGGGGCACAATGGATCCTTGCCAGGAAGTACCCAGGCTTCGAATGCTAACTTGAGCCGGTGTCAGTCAGGTGAGGGGAAGGTAGGTCTGAGGCTGGACTGTGGTGTGAGGCACCCTCTGCACAATTTCCCTGAGCTTGCCAGAGTCTCTGATACAGTCTAGGATGTGATCAGTGCCACATCATCCATCCAGCTTCCCTGTGGAGGAGGTTGCTAGGATACCCTGTGTCCACTCCACTTCTATCCTGGTCTCGCTGCACCTGCAAACTTCTGGCTGCCATGAAAATGCTTATGTTGAGAGTCTAGGTGAAGCTGACTTCATACCCTTTGCTCTGCCTGGAGCACTACTTGTCTTCCAGGCTCCACTGCCTAGGCAGGTGGCCCTTATGCCCCCGAGATGAATGGGTACCTCCAGAGGCATATGGGAGTTCCCTGTGGGCCTGCAATATGCTGAAATGTTCCTTGATGAGCCATTGACTGTGAAAGAACAGAAATCAGTCAGCCCTCTGGGTGACACTGGCAGGCTTGAGAGACAGACCACCTCAGTTTTAGATCCTGACCCTACCACGCAAGCTGCATGACTGAGCGAGTGAGCTGCTTTCCTCTCTGAGCACAAGTGTCCTCTCCCTCAAGTGAAGATGCCCACCACTCAGGGACTTTGTGAAGATGGCAGACAGTACACTGGCATGCTGTGGGCATTTAGTAAGCCAAAATTTTTGCTGTTGCCATTAATAGTATAACAAATGTCACTTGTGCTCCTGTTAAAAACTGTAATGTGAGCCAGGGGTGGTAGCACATGCCTGTAATCCATCAATTGGGAGGCTGAGGCAGGAGGATTGTTTCAAGTTTGAGGCCAGCCTGGGTTACAAAGTGAGCTCAAGACCAGCCTGAATTGCATAGTGAGACTCTGTCTCAAAAAAAAAAAAACAAAAAAAAAAACCCTATAATGCACCAATTATCATAATATACATGGGTACATTCTTTGGAATTTTAGTGCCCAGGCTGCGCCCCTATATAATGTGCTCCTGAATAAATAATAACCTTCATGTTTTTAATTCTCTAAAATAATAATAATGCAGAAATAATGTGCCGTGATATCCATACCTGCCCCTCAGTGCATGACTGTTATATAGCAAGCGAGGTACTGAGTATTTTAGAGGCTCTGTCTTGCTAGATTGTACCTACAGGCTTTATGGACCACGTGCTGGTGTTAGGTGCTGCGCTGCACACGTGGAATGTGTCATCTCAGTCTTCAGACCAGCACAGTGAGACAGAAGGCATCTTAGGCCCCTTTTACAAAGAAGGTCATGTAGAAGTTAAGAAACACCTTTTAAATTGAGTAGATAAGAGATGGCGGTCTGAATGTTAGCCTAAGCCTCAGAAGTTCCGCCCTTCCCATCCATTTTCACTGGGCACATTGCCGCAATGCTAAAAGGAAGGTTTTCTATAACCTGGCTTTTCCAAGCAAACACTGACTTAGTGTGTTAGCAATTGAGAGGCAAGGTGAGAGCCCAGCCATGCCTGCTTTCCTCTCCCCGCCCTGCCACTGAGACACACTGACTCCTGAGGCCGTAAGACGTGGAGACCCTCCAACTGCTGTAGAAATGTTTCCGTTATCCCCTTGGCAGCTGCAGGGCTTGTCCCCTCCCTGTATTCTAGTTTCTGCTTAGCAGTCATCTCTAGAGAGATCTGCCTGGCCACCTCTAGAGAGAAGGCCCTGGGCCACCCTGCAGCCCCTGGTTCCCAGGCTAGCACTCAGAGGGCGATACACACATTCTCTCAGTCACTGGAGCTCGTGAACTCTCCTTGCCAGGTACCTGACCTCCTTCTGTCCTTCCAGGTTATGTTGCCATGGGCGCCGTCCTCCCATCCTTCTGGGGCCAGCAGCCCCTCGTCCAACAGCAGCTCGCCATGGGTGCTCAGCCACCAGTCGCTCAGGTGATGCCGGGGGCTCAGCCCATCGCATGGGGCCAGCCGGGGCTCTTTCCTGCCACCCAGCAACCCTGGCAAACTGTGGCCGGGCAGTTTCCTCCAGCCGCCTTCATGCCCACACAAACTGTTATGCCTTTGCCAGCTGCCATGTTCCAAGGTCCCCTCACTGCCCTTGCAACCGTCCCAGGCACGAGTGACTCCACCAGGGCAAGTCCACAGACCGACACGGCCAAGCAGAAAATGGGGAAAGAAATGTTTAAGGATTTCCAGATGGCCCAGCCTCCGCCCGTGCCCTCCCGCAAACCCGACCAACCCTCCCTCACCTGTACCTCAGAGGCCTTCTCCACTTACTTCAACAAAGTCGGGGTGGCACAGGATACAGACGACTGTGATGACTTTGACATCTCCCAGTTGAATTTGACCCCTGTGACTTCTACCACGCCATCGACCAACTCACGTGAGTGCCCTTCGCTTTTGACATACGCCACCATGAGAACAATGGCGGGTTTCTGGAGACTGAGGGTCTGGGTCAGAGAACTCATCTCACTTGCTCTCTTCTTGCTCCTAACAGTCAAGATAGCTGCCAACCCAGATGCCGGGCACAGCATACGTACCTCTCCATAGGCTCAGGGGTGCCTTTAGCTCATACGATGCTGATACAAAGTTTTGTTAGACCTGTTTGACAGAGTTATAAATAGTCATGGAGAGGTTCAAAGACAAACATGATAGACGAAGTGATAGAAGTGAATGCAGTTCACCATTTCCTGCCTTTTAGGATTGTGTTAGTTTGCTCATTCGTTCATTTATCCCAGTTTATGACTGTGTGAAGTGGTTTTGTGTAGAGTGCTGGACTGAGGTTGCTGGTACAGGTCCTACAACTGGTGATGTCCGTGGCAAGCACATGGCTTTTCAGAAGTGCAGGGAATTGGCTTGATGACAGTGTGTCTCCTTCTCCTTTCCACATTAAGTGATACCATCCCAGGTGTCATCTCTCTATCGAGAAAACGGAAATAACACAGCCAAGTCAGAATCCAGATACACATGAGCATTCATGTGCTTGTGGGACACACTTCAGGAAAAGGTATTCTGGTGACTCAGCCTGTCCCTTGACAGTTGATAAAGGAATAGAAAATGCTCATGGTACAATGAGTTTGGCATTTTCATTACTATAACTGGTGATACGGATCACTGCATGGCCAGCACTGTGAATTGTCAAGAAAAGTCTAATGTTAATACAATTAGATTGTGTCATTTCAGCCAGGTGCAGAATACTGTTCTGAAAATGAAAGCCTTTGATGTGTGTAAACAACCCTCTTGCACTCAAGCCATAGTTTCTACATGGTGGGGGCATCTCTATTAACTCTAACTCATGGAGTTTCAATGAGGAATAATGAATAAAATATGAAATGCTAGAGAAATAACAGCCATGCATATGTGCAAGCATCTTTTTAAAACAAATGTCTCTCTTTCAATGGACTCGTGTGCCAGCTACAAGCAAAAAAGGAAAGCTGAAATTCTTGAGGACATGGGATATGTCTTCATCCTTCCACACTTTGCATAATGATAGCAGACTGAGAAAGGTTGTAGAGAATGAAATGACCCCCAAAAGGCAATTTAGCTATGGCTGAGTGTTAGAGCAGGGTTTGCAGCCTTGGCACCATTGACAGCTTCGGCCAGTAATCGTCTGCTGTGGGAGGCTGTCCTGTGCATGCTAAGATGTCTTGTGGCAGTCCCAGCCTCTGCTCACAAGATGCAAGTGACATTCCTCCCTTCACTGTAGTTATGGCAATCAAAAATGACTCCAGACATTGCCAAATGTCCCCTGGAAGTGAAATCACCCAGGTTGAGAACCACTGTTGTAGAGCACAGAGATATTCTGTAAAACCTTCTAAAGATTAACACTTGCATAAATAAGCTCGGAATTATATTTCCCATAGATTTCATTGGGTAAATATGAGCAATATACCTGTCAGAATTGGCAGCACACCCTGGGTTCTCAGCCTGTAGTAAGCAATAAACCACTTCAAACACAATTCAGAATTCAATTAAGCTAATATTTATTAAACATCTATTACTCATCAGGGTGTTTTTATATAGCTTTAAACCCATTATAACTTGTTTGTTCCAAAATCATCTCATGAAACACAACAGACCTCCTTTCAAATAAAAATAACTTAATGTTTTATCTTAAAGAAAATGAGTGAATCCAGTCTTTATGTCCTCTTATCTACCAGAAACTCAGAATGTTTTCAGTGAAGAATTAGTTGGATCAAAAGTGAACCTCCAATAGACTCAGAAAAGCACAGCTGAACTGAATAGCATCACAGGGTCCTGTGTTATACCCCAGGGCTGCTGTTTCATAGCTGAATTAACCCTGAGCAAGGACCCACACCTGCCTGAGCTGTAGTTGCTAACATCTGGGAGCGGGGGACAACACCTGCAAGTTGTTGGTGCTGGGGAGATTAATGGATGGGAACTGCCATTGCTGTGACTGACTCATTAGTACATTATAAATAATAAGGTTTTGAAATAGCATCATTATTTAAAATATAAGTTCATCAGGGCAAAAAGATGCACACTGAGTTTTACGATCATTCACTGTCTGATAAGCTGCCAGTTTTCTAAGCTCTAGAACATTACAACAGGGAGGCCTTATCACTGGCCTTGATATTCAGCTACTAAATGAAGCCATACTGACTCCTCCCTTGACATTAAGCCAGTGACTGGTATTTTCTGTGCCAAATGAGGAATTATTAAAAGAGCAATTTCCAGTGGAATATTTGTTGTAAGCCCCTGAACCAAATGAGGAGAGGGAAATGTGGGAGTCAGTATAGCAACTGCACAGTCTTGTAAGGCGCCAGCGGTGATGTGGCTGTCAGCCACACCCATCCTCCCACACCACTTCCAGGTCCCCAAGTTCCCTTTGTGCTACACATGTTTATGGATTGTTTGCCATGTGCCAAGATTCAAAAGCTTGTCCTTCCAGTTGCCGGAGACAGATTAGCAACCTTTGTTTTCCTTATCTGTAAGACTGGGATCGCTCCCACCTAAACAGGCTTTGTGGGGACTGAGGATCTTGTGTGTAGAATTTTGAACAGTATCTTACACACAAAATGGACTTGGTGAATGTGCTCTCTGCTGGAGGCAAGAGAGAAAGTAAACCATGACCCAGTGGCTCTCAAATTGTGCATGAATCACAATCACCGACAGGGAGGGATTTGTTAAAACAGAGGGTTCCTGAACCAGTAGAGCTAGGGTGGGTCCAAGAATTGGCGTCCTAACAAGACCCCAGGTGATGCTCATCCCTTCGGAACCGCTACCGTGGCCATCAGTGTGAACAAGCTCCTTGCTTATGATCAAGTTGTGGGAGGACAAGATAAACATCTGTGGAAGGAGGATTCACATATTTAGCTGATTCGCTTGGGATAGAGAAGCTGTAATTTTTTTGGAGGGGAGAGGTGGAGGGTTACTGGGAATTGAACTCATGACCTCAAACTTGCCAGGCAGACACTGTGCTACTGAGCTATATCCCCAGCCCTAACCCTGTGATTTGATTCACATATAGTGGTGCCTCAGTACACGAACTCAGGGTTCTCCACGATGCTGGTCGAAAACCAAACTGGAAGAGGACCCAATCAAATTTCCCCATAAGGTCAATATGGAACCTAACCATTGAATTTGATTCAATTCTCATCCAGTTTGGTTTGCAACTAGATTTGTAGAAAAAATCAAATTCATGAAGTGAGGCACCACTGTCTAACAGATCCCTGAGGTTTCTGTGGGGTACAGATGGTTGTGCCAGGCAATTAAGATGTTTCCTCTGTTTGTATGGTTTCTATGTAGCTCCAACCCCTGCTCCTAGGCAGAGCTCTCCGTCCAAATCCTCTGCATCCCATGCCAGTGATCCGACCGCAGATGACCTCTTCGAAGAGGGCTTTGAAAGTCCCAGCAAAAGTGAAGAGCAAGAAGCTGTAAGTGGCTGGTTTGTTCTTTCTGTAGTGCTATTTATGTTTCATTTTTCCCTTAAAGTTCAAGCTTCCCTTTCTGAAATGGACAATGCATGTAGAACCCCACATAGTAGAAAATGCTGGCTCTGACTCTACACTGCTAACGTGCTGCTAAACAAGCTTTATTTTATGTGCAAATGAATGAGTCAGAAAATGCTGTCCTTTTGTTAAATTGTTACAGGCTCTTGCATTCGTGGGGTGGCTTCCTCTGACTAAAGTTGCACCCCTTTAAAAGAACTCATTGTATGTGCTGCATGAAAATGTGCCTAGTTGTCTTATATTTTCAGTTGTTCAAAAGGAAAAAAAAAGTATTATCTTCTTGTGTTCTAGCCTGATGGATCGCAGGCCTCCTCCACCAGTGATCCATTTGGGGAGCCCAGTGGGGAGCCCAGTGGTGATAATATAAGTCCACAGGCCGGTAGCTAGATAGCGCAGGTCTGGGTAGGTATCTGTCCTTTTTATCTCCTTTACCCTGAAGCCTGCTGCTTTTGCTTTTGTTTGTTCTTTACTTCCAAGGTCACCTTCATGATGTTTGCACCCCCTCCTTGCCAGTGCTGTTCTTGATGTTTCCACTTCACTTCTTGTCTGAGCTGTACTCCTAATGTTGGCACCATCAGTCCTTGCGTATGCTATATCACCGATGTTTGCAGCATGTCTCCTTGCCTGAGCTATATTCTTGGTTGCCTACGCCATGTCTGTTTGCCTGAGCTGTATTAACAGTGTGTGGACCATCTCTTCTTGCCTGGTTTCTCCTTCCCACTCTGCTTTTCCTCTTCGATGAATGACCTTTGACATATACGAGGACATAGGGTTGGGGGGTGGGAGTGGGAAATAGTCATACTTTATTAATTATATCTTCTGTGTGGGCAGTAGTGACGGAATGCTGCACAGTCAACACTACTCAATGTGGATTAAGTTTCTAAAACCAGCATCATTCTGAAATGGACACGTCCTGCCCAGCCTGATAATTTCTCAGTGAGCTGTGGTCCAGGTGCTTTAATCTTTTACACAAAATGTCACTGCATTTGCCTACACGGCACAGATCCAAAGAGGTCACCAATCAAACACACTGGGAAGCCACACTATGACACAAAACCAAGCAGTGCTTGCATTAAGATTGACTGGAATGTGAGATCATGGTAGCTCTTTTCATCTAGCCAGAAGGGGGCCTGCACCCTCTTCCGATGTGAAAGTGAAATTCAAAGCCCAGTGATACGTAGCTGTCACTTCTGAGGCTCTGCTGTTTGCACCTGTGCTGTAGCATGTAGTTTGCCACCAAGTCACTTCAGATTCCATCAGCAGCTACTTGGAGAGGCCGTACTTACATTTACTGGAAGTGGCTTTGGGCACTTGAATTTCAATGCATCTGATTTGATCAAAAAAAGAAAGAGGAGCTGATGAAGCGAACCTGCTCAGGAGAGAGAAGTACACCTTATCACCCAGACATGATTTCTAAGGTCACTCCTTGACAAATGTGTTCAATTTTCAGTTACTTTCCTAGTTTTCCATAAACATATAGGACTGCAAGGCCGTACCCAGAGAGCTCCTTTTTTCAGTCCTGAAAAGTATGATCAGAGCCATTAAAATGGTAAACAGTTTTCACCGTTCACAAATGGATTCTGAGGCTACCTCAGAATCATTCTCCGTCCATGCATAAGTTATTGTGACAGTTATTGAAAGCTCATACAGCGTTTGGAAAGTGAATTTTGTTAATAGATTTTATGATTAAAGAACTTAACATACTGTGTATTTTTGCCACACTTTATATCGGGACAACAGCACATAATACTACATCATGCCGTGCAAAACCCTGTTATGGTCGTTTATAAATTCAGTGTTGCAAAATTTATTTTGGGAGCTGGTAGGCAAAGTGAAATGCTCCAGGAAAGAAAAAAGTTGGAGATTATGGGTAGATGCCTTAGGCTGAATCCCTAAGAGCTGTTCTACCCCTTGCATATGTTATACTTCGTGTGCTCAGCCTTGCCTTGAAATTTTGATGAATGAACTACAGGTGATGAGAGCCATTCATCAGAATAACAGCAAACATCATCCTAAAACTGACGTTCTTCTAGAAAACAAAGATGACTTACACCATTTGCAGGTCAGTGTATCAAACCCTTATCTCCGTGAGGCTCTTCAGCTTGAAGCAATTACACAAGCGGTACTGTTTACGGGGCTTCTGCCGGTTCCACTTTCAATGCTGCATGTAACATGCTGAGCCATGGCTGAGGTGTAAATGCACAAAGCATGGTATAGTGGCAGGAGCTCAGGATTTGGAACTTGAGTTTGGATCTTAGCTCAGCTCCTTAATGGTGGGAAATCTTGGCAAGAGCCTTTATTTCTCTTGCATCTTAGTTACTTCATCTACTAGAGGAGGCTTATACTATCCATGATATAAACAGATAGCACCATATCTTCAGTCCCTAGTATGGAGACAGACACTGAATACTCAGCTTAGACATTGCTGGTTTTTGGGTAATATTTTGAGTTCAGAATCTAGTTTCACCACTTCTTGGGTGCATGACCCTGTCGAGATTTCATATCAGTATCTAGTCTTGTGTTCTTCATAAGGATGAAAATAATGTTCACCTCATAGTGTTGCTGTGTGAACTAATGAGGCAATGTTTGTGGAGTTCCTGGTACAGTGCCTGGTGCATAGGAAGCACCCAGTAGATGCTAGCTCCCATTGTCATGGCCACCACCATCACCACCACAACCACCACCATCAGTCATAATCACCACCAGCACCACGATCACCACCCTAAGCACCGTCATCATCACCCCACCACTCAAACCATCATCATCATTACCACCACCACTGTCACTGCCCCAGAAACCACCATCATCACTGTCATCACCATCATCGCCCTACCTCCATCCCCAGCACCATCATTAGCCCTGCCACAATCACCACTAACCCTTATGTTGGATGTGTCCTCTGCCGGGGAGGTTTTGCTAGATACTTTCTCCAGATAACTAATTTTCAGATGCCTCAAAACAGCTTGAGTTGAAGGGAGCCTTCTTGATAATTCTGGCTTTCCTTGTCACATAATCAGAATGGCCCCAGTTTCGAGTCTTACAATTTTCAAAAATTGTGAAGCCTTAGAGTCACATGTAAATTGTAAGTCTCTCCCAGCTCTGGTGGAAGACCAGTCTATAACTTTGATGAAGCACCTTCCCTTTGCAAGCATAGCGTGGCCATTTTATAATCCCTTCTAAGAGTTGCACGCTAAGGGGCTGATGCCCACCTTCTAGGCAGGTCTGCTACAGCACCCACAGGTGAAGCCAGCATGAGGCTTTCTAGGGCCCTCTGCCAAGAGGAGCATGAGGCTCGTGTAATCTTCTTCCCTCTATCCCCTACATGCTTCCACCCAACTAGAAATTTACTGACTGTAAGTTTTTAGTCCTTCTGGACGTTTGGAAAAGGTACAACTTGCAGAGATAGTTATGTCCATGGATTTGTTTTCCCTTCTGCCTTCCTACAGTGGGAAAGCAAGAGCCCAGCCTTCTTATCACCTTTGCAACCACTGTCTCCTGCTGCTTTTTCATTAGAAATAGCCATCCAGTTCTGAATAAGTAGGGATGACATCTGTTGATAAGTTAAAGCTATATGCCTCCAGATGAAGAATAAAGAGACAAACCCAGTCCCTGAAGATGGAAGCTTCAGTTCTATTTTAGCAATAAAGAAAAATATCTTCAATTATTTCACTTTTTCTCCTCTACCTTCCCATCTGGGAGCATCACGTGTTCTTGAAAGACTGCGTCAACAGAGGCAGAAGAGAACCAGAATAATATTATAATGGCTGGTATGGGGATGGCAGGTAATTTATACTTCACTGATGTGTTGCCAGAGCAATTTTAAGGACGAAATGTTAGCTTTTGAGGAGATGAAAGAAAAATGAAAACATTTATTTGGTTAAATGGCTAAGTAAATAAACTGCCTATCAGACTTTGCCAGCTGTCAAGTCAAAGTAGCATCTGTAACAAAGGGAATTGTTCAGTCTGTCTCCCTTTTGTAACAATAGATATTGCAATAAATAATAACTCACTGTCATTTTTCTAAATACTAATCTTCATAGTGGGACCCAAGACATATAAAATATTACCTAGTGGAAGTTCTAGTGTTCAAGGGGGAAGAAAGCTGAACTTCAAATGCTTTGAAAGGAGGGTTCTTTTATGAAAAAGGGGAAGAAAGAAACACACAGGGTCAGGGGCACTTGTACGTGAACATGAGTCCAAGTCAGGTGACCTTAGGCAAGCACTGCTCCCCTTATGCGGAGAAGCACAGGCAATTATCTCAGATTCCTTTCCAAGCTATCCAGCAGTCACATGGAATGAATATGAAAGTGGTTTGTAAACTGTACAAGTAAAATACATGTATTTGGGATTACTGAACAACAGAGCCTAAAATAATCAACAAATAAATAAATAAAATCTGACTATCTCATGGTTATAGAATTCAGAGGCAAATCCAATCTTAAGAGTTTGGAGGGAATAGTGTCCCATATCTTCAGATCTGTACAAACAGATACTTTTGGGGATCTTGCAGCTAGAAAACTGCTGGAGAGTTTCCTGCAGAAGGTGGCCAGGGTCTAGATGTGGGCAGTGCCTGTCAGGATGGAAAGGTGGGCTTGGAGCCAAGAGAGGGTTAAAAGATGAAACTGGCAGGAGGTTAAAACTGAAGGAACATGAGAGGTAAACAACAGGACAGAAGAGTGGCACCTAGTTTCCTGATGTGGAGGACCAAGTGGTGCCAGTCCTTGGGCTGCAGAACTCAGAACAGCTTGCTTGAGCAGAAAGAAGACGAGTTTACTTAAGGGCCATTTGAGCTTGAGATACCCGTAAGATTTCCAAGTAGAAATGCCAGTAGGCTGCTGGATATGGCCCCTGGAGGTCCAGAGAGAAGTGAGGCTAGACTTGAAGACTGCATCATGGTTTCCAGGAATTGGAGTAGTAGATGCAAGAAAAATAGGCTGATACCTAGACCAGCAGTTGACCAGCTCTGTATTATTTATTATTCATGGGCCGTGCATTCTATTCCAGCTACTCTACAGTCAGACAGGAAAGCAGCAAAAGACAGTGCCTCAACAAGTGGGTGTGGCTATGTTCAGATAATACTTTATTTACAAAAACAGGCAAACCCTAGAACTGGCTAATGGACCATCATTTGCTGCTTTCCTCTGTCTGAAGGTAGAGTAGTATTTTGAAGAATTTTCTACCCCGAAAGCCAACTTTCAGGCTGAAAGTGGTCAGAAATCTTTGTTTCATCTTTTTACTAAAAGGAAGGGAAGATTCCCACCATACTAGACGAAGTGATTTATTTTCATAATCACATAGGGCAGAGGTTGCAAACTGTTGACAGGGGAAAAAACAGAGGCCCAGATGTGAACATACTGGCCTAAGTTCATACAGGGACGGGGAGGTTTGCTGAAATCTTTGGC